AAAGTCCACATAACAGCTACTTTATAATTTTTTGGACGAATGATGAAAAATTTGCTTTCTAAATGGTTAGTTTAGGGACTGGTCATAAAGTAACTGCTAGGGTGGGCTGGAGGTAAATCACAAATTTTGCCAATAAGTTCGGTGACCCATCTTAGGATGTAGATAAAAATTTCAAAGCACATCTAATCGTACAAAAAAAAATTTTCATGACCCATCCACTCTAAATTGGGAAAATACACTTTTATAATAAAAAAAACTTGCAGGTATGAACATTGTGCATATACATGCACGGCACTGTATTGACATACATAATTCCACCAAGGTTGACAAACACATTGGTACTGAGCTGCTCTCCAGTTGGTTATATTTGCTGTGATTCGACCACTTTTTGTTGTTGTATAAACAAAGTACTGGCTTCAATAGACAATAGCATCATTTGCATTTGATAATTTGGATAGTTTTGTTTACTTTTACTGTTAGTATCTTTATTTTTTGAAGTAGACATGCATGTTTTTTTGTTTGGTGGCCCAACCGTGGACATGCAAAAAAATTGGCGGCCCATCGAAACTGCCCAAAGATTTTCCATGGCCCATCCCAAATCACTCCAGCCCACCCTAGCAGTTACTTTATGACCGGTCCCTTATTTTGAAAAATTGCTTTTTACATTCGGTTTTAATTGTCTGCATTGGTTAACGAGAATTAGATGCCACCCCAAAATGGCGGATATTCGTCATTGGGAGAGAAAGGCTAATTGAATCGCAAGATGTTCGCAAGACGTTGTCATTCGTTTTCATATGAATTATAATATCATAATGCGCATGTTCTATTGCGCGCTGTATAATCGTTCACACTGTAATCCATAGACCATATTAGGTGGGATCACTATTAAAAACAAGACGCAAATACGAATAATTAAAATTTTTACATTGGTCCAACAATACTGTCGGACTTGTTGACTAATAAAAGAAATTGGCAAACTGCTCAATTTATGCTAGAGAAAAAATTTATGCTAGAAATGCACCAATTGAATCGCAAGATCTTCTAGTTTCATTTTTCGCCGCTGCTCCTGGTAAAGTCTAAAATGAACACAGCCAACTGTTGTCTAAACAGAATAGCAGATGTCTCACTTTTCATGTTCGTTGTCATTCGTTTTCATACGAATTAGAATATCATAATGCGCATGCTCTATCGCTCGTATAATAGTTCGCACCGTAATCTATACAACACATTACGTGGGATATAAACAACATGCAAAATGGTAATTATTTACGAAACTAAAAAATCTAAACAAAATATAAGGAAATTTTTACCAGTCTGACAATATTGTCGGACTCGTCGACTAATAAAAGAAATTGGCAAATTCAAATTGCCCAATTTAGGCTAGAGAAAAAAATTAGGCTAGAGATGCACCAATAGAATCGCAAGATGTTCTAGTTTCATTTTTCGCCGATGCTCCTGGTTTTTAACCTGTTTTCCACTAGGCGGAATTTTGCGCTCGGAGCGGAATTTTTCTTTGTCTTTTCTAATTAGTTCCACTCGAGAAATCACAAGACAAAGAAAAATTCCGCTCCGCGAGCAAAATTCCGCCTAGTGGAAAACCGGCTTAAGTCTAAAATGAACACAGCCAACTGTTGTCTAAACAGAATATCAGATGTCTCACTTTTCATATTCGTTGTCATTCGTTTTCAGACGAATTAGAATATCATAATGCGCATGCTCTATCGCTCGTATAATAATTCGCACCGTAATCCATCGATCACATTACATGTGATATAAACAACATGCAAAATGGTGATTACTTATTAAAATAAAAATACAAATAAAATATAAGGAAATTTTTACCAGTCTGACAATATTGTCGGACTTGTTACTAAAAGAAATTGCCCAATTTATGCTGCGGCTCTGCGATTCCGGTGCAGCGGTATAACCATGGACTGTAAAATAACTAGATAGGAAACTTCCTGACGTCACAGTCTAAACCTAGTTGCAGAAGAAGTAATCGTAATCTTTACTCAATACTATTTTTTTTGGTAATTTTCATAACACAATGATCAACGCGGACAGACAGGCGGATCATTCGTCAAGAAATTGCTAACCGCATTTGATGGGCTTACCTTTATTTGTTCTCTAAACAACGGGAACAATGCAAATATTTCCACAGCGACAATCACAGTAACAAATGCATGCGCAGATGAAGGCAAGCGAGAAGCCAGACATACTGAACCAAATATCGCTGTATTTAATGACGCTGCCTTCGAAACACTAGAGAAACAGACAATGCATTGTTGTTAATTTTGTTGCTATTGTAGAGGTGTTGTTGTTGATCTACCATCTTGTTGATGTTGTTTGTTGTTGTTCCTGCTGTTGTTTGTTGTTGTTGTTGTTGTTGTTGTTGTTGTTGTTGTTGTTGTTGGTCGTCGTGTTCTTATTGTTGCTGCTGGGTTTTTTTGTTGTTGTTGTTGTTGTTGTTGTTGCTGCTGCTGAGGTTTGTTGGTCTTTTTGCTGTTGTTGTTCCTGCTGTTGTTTGTTGTTGTTGGCTGTGTTCTTGTTATTGCTGCTGGTTTTTTTGCTTTTGTTGTTGTTGTTGTTGTTGTTGTTGTTGTTGTTGTTGTTGTTGTTGTTGCTGCTGCTGAGGTTTGTTGTCCTTTTTGCTGTTATTGTTGCTGTTGTTGTTGCTGCTGTTGCTGTTGTTGTCTCTGTCGTTGTTGTTGTCTCTGTCGTTGTTGCTGCTGTTGTTGCTGCTGTTGTTGCTGCTGCTGTTGTTGTTGTTGTTGTTGCTGCTGTTGTTGCTGCTGTTGTTGCTGCTGTTGTTGTTGCTGTTGTTGTTGTTGTTGTTGTTGCTGTTGTTGTTGCTGCTATTGTTGTTGTTATTGTTGCTGCTGCTGTTATTGTTGCTGCTGCTATTGTTGTTGCTGCTGCTGCTGTTGCTGCTGCTGTTGCTATTGTTGCCGTTCTTGTCATTGGTTGTTCTTATTATTGCTGTTTTTCCTGTTTATTTTACAGTTTGATGCAAGTTCGTTAACGAGTATAATCGTCCTTAAGAGAGTCCCATTGGTCGATAAAACGTTCATGAGGTATTTGTAACTGCATACTACATTTCTACCCTAAAACGCATATACCAAAAAGTCTTTGAAAAACTTACATGGCGCCACTTGCTCCATAGTCGTGCATTAGAAGATTCATGCCAAGCATAAATACCTACAAAGATACCACAAAGAAATTCATGCATGCATTCCCTTTGTCTTTAACCGGCGGACCTAAGCTAAGTTTTGAGCAAAATCTCCAACAGCAACTGTATATCAAAAATTTTAATTGAACAGTATATCTTACCGTCATCGCATAAATTGTGTCCGTACTGATGGAATCTGTGAGTGTTCTCAAAATCGGAGATAGTCCAAATGAGAACGCAAGAAATAAAATAAGACTTTTTAAATCATCTTTAACTGTAAAGAAAAAAATACTACTGGATTGAATCATCAATAAGTCATCGCTTATTAATATTGTATAAATGCTTGACGCTAGCAAGCAATCTGCAGAAAGGCTTGAAGTAGTCTAACGCTGCTTTGGAAAGGAAGAAAAAATGAATATTTAGTTTACTTTTTCACATCGCAACGCTATAAATCAAAAAGTGTGTTGTTGCTCTTTTTTTATTTTGGGTCTCACAACTTTTTCACACATCTGATGTACCATGGCGATAGTAGTCCGCCTGGATAGATTTGGACTAAATAACTTTGTTATTATAGCTAGGGTGTACATCAAAAATACCAGATATCGGCCGCATACCTTATAGCTATGGTTTGTTGCTATAAAGTATGCCAGATTTCGGCACAGTACCTTGAGGCTTGAGCCACGGTTTCTGGCAATAGCCACGACCTGCGACTATAGACCCATTGCACTGACGTCACAAATCATTAGAATATCCTCCAGATATCCCCTAAACAATAACTGTTCGGGTACAACAACCACATACAGCGCAAAAATTAACCATTTAAATACAACATTATTATCAACTTTTACAAAATTTGCTTTCTTTACAAAAGTTATATTATGCATAGATTGCAAATTTGTCCCCCAGATGCATCGTCACCGGCGCTGTGACGTCATGTGCAAAGGGTCTATAAGGTATGCAAGATTTCGGCATACCTTATACTGTAGCTGCGGTTTTAGATAATGACCATATACTGACCCTGGCAATTTAAATCATTCCTTACCATTCTTGGTTCTCTGCTCCCAACATGTCACGATATAAATACAGTAACTTATTGAGGTCACCACAGCTGAGATAAGGAATAACGTTGAAGGTGATACAAGTTCTTTTTTCATGTACACAAAACTCATAACAAACAGACACAAACTAAACCAAATATAAATTAAGTGTTTTATTTCACCTATAACCTATACCCTGTATCCAGGGCATGGTTTTCCCCAAGAAAAAAATAGGTGTTGTAATTGCCTGATTATACCAATGAAACAAAATAAAACTAAAGGATAAATTTTCGGAAGAACGAGTCAGAAACACCGACCACTTTTGTTTTTATTCAGCAAACCAATCACAAAACATGTTCAGTTTAGGCTGGTAATTATGGAATTACCCCAAGTCAGAATCGACCTGCAAAATTTGGTTTCTCGTTTTGCTCTGCAGTAGAAGAGCTATAACTAAAGTCACAATTTACATAGATGTGTAAAACATGCAAAGATGCCAAGTTTCAGTAACAGGCTGCCTGGAAATTTTATCGAACAAATGCCAATTAGGCTGCTCCCTCCAAATTTTTTTTGTAATTTTTAACTAATTTAACGATACATTCCACTGATGTTTCAATGAGAATTTTCTTGATAATGATTACAAATTTGAATTATTTTGAACACAATATCCATATTTTTATTTACAGCTGTAGAGAAATTCGGCTGAAAAATTTGCATGCTCAGCTGGAGACTTGATATCTAGGACGAGGGCTATACCTGCTAACTTGTTGTGAAACTGTGCCTGCTGCATCAGACACATTCCAAAAGTGATAGGTTCTAGTATAGACTGTAAAATAGAAATTGTCATTAATCAATTAGTCTTTAATTTTCACGCTCGGTTTTTTCGCTATTTCAGGGGTACTGCACTGCAAGATGTGAAGGAAGAGCCCCTGAATGGGGGAGGGAAGAGTGTAACCTTGTAATGCTTTCATCCATGACATAAAATATAACAATAATTAATAACGCGTGTTTCTATAACGCCATTTCCTATAGTTCAAAATATCCCAAATCTGTGCCTTTCAGATTGATGTAAAACACACAAATGTATCTAAAGTGCATAAAATAGAATTTCACACATCCTAAAAATAGAAAAATTTTCCAGGGAACCATGCCCCCGGAACCACTCCCCACTCGTTTGGGGTTGGCTACGCCCCTGAAACCTGTACTATCTTTTTGTATATTACCATTCTTCCTTAACTCATCCAAGAAAGATCCATCAACGTAATTATCTGGATAATCTTGTTCTTCATAAAGTATCTTCTTCCATGGCTTTTTCACCATATTACCTTACGGCAGTAAATGCGACATCTATGTGTAACAAAAAATATGAAAACTATGATCTTGAACTGTCTGTGCCAGTGTAGGTAGTGCCAATCAGGGTTTTTTCAGGATTTTCACTTGGGTCCATTTTTGCTGAGAAGATTGAGTTTAGCTGAACAGCTGGGGGTCTGGGGCAGCTGCGGGGGGCTGACACCTGTACCCAATAAGTGTAGTTGAGACGCAATGTGTTAAAGCAGACACCATAAACTGATTAAAGATGGCGAATGCGTTGTTTTTCTTGTGTTGTGAAATGAATTTCGGCCATTTTTCTGGATTGGGGGGTTTCCAACTGAGAACTAATTTGCACATGTCACAAATGTAACTCCAACAACTTTCATTTTACTGCACTGAATCTTTTGGTGAGAAGATTGAGTTTCAAAACTCAATTCAAGATTGAGTTTTTGGGGCCGTTTTACCGCCCTAAAAAATCCCTGAAAAAACCCTGCCAATATAAATAACAAGCTCTGGAGATACTACACGGCTAAAAACAATCAGGTTGTTGCAATATTGATGTAAACAGGATTGAACAATGTTGTGCTGCCCACATTGTTCACAGTTGTTCAACAATGTTGAACAATATTGTTACACCCGATTCAGGCACAACAATATTGTTCAATATTGTTGACAAATGTGAACAATGTAGGCCGCACAACATTGTTCAATCCTGTTAAACAGCGGGCTCAGCGTTTTAGTTTTCCTTATAGTTTTCAGGTAGTTGCATTCTTACCAAAGAAAGCTTGTTATGAAAACTATAAAGGCCTGCTTTGCTGTGATTGCTAGTACCAGATTTTCTTCTTCTGATGCATGTAAACAAGCACTGTAGATGAGTTATGAATGTTCTGAGTATATGTACTGTTCACAAACTCTCATGTTAGTTTGTAAATCATGAACAAATTCAAAACAAACTTCTCGATAGCTTATATGTAATCTGCTGTGTTGGTGTAATGTACTCAGGTGAATAAGATGTTTGTGTGATGTTACTCTGAGTGTATATCCACACCGGGCAGGCTTGAAAAATATGCCTGGCCACGGCGGGATATGTGTTTATGCAATAAAAATAGTTAACTTCTAGCATGAATTGTGATGTGGGTTGTTATAATATGTAAATTATGCATTTATGCAGGGTTCAATTTCATTGACCAATCAGAAGCAGTCTGTTGTCAGCGGGCGGGAGTTTGCCATTTGCTGTGCTCACGGGCTGTGCTCACTTGCATACTGCTTCTCACACTGTGAACTCGATTTCTCACCCACCCACCCACCCGATAGTGTTTCCCCCTTGCCTGCGGTGGCGCCGGCTACTTGCCGGGTTTTTGTTTTCAGGCTGCTTGCCTGTGCTTGCTGGCTGCTTGCCGGTCTACCTCCGGCTGTTTTTTTGCCGGTCCCATGGGCTGCCTGCCTGATCCCCCCCCCCCTCCCCGTGCGGCTGCTTGCCGAGGTGTGTATCTGTGCATCAGCATATTTAATTTTCGTGATTTGTTCGTCTGCTTGTACGTGCGTTTGTCCCCTCACCATTAGTCCTTTTGTCTGTCTGTGAAGTGCTTATTCTCTGTTGTGTGTGTCCTTGGCACAGTGTAAATGGTGGGGGTAGTCCTTTTTGTCATCCTTGCTAGAAATGTCCCTGTTGTGTTCGTTATTTGCATTATGCCGCACCCGCTCGTCGGGCTTGCTCTCCGGCTAGTCCGGGTGATTTCTTTTAGATTGGTATCCTGCGTTATCCAGCGTTGTTTTTCTTTTTGGTTTCCCTTTGGTCGGTAGGTGCATATAATTCGTTGTGTTCGGCTTTGTATGCTTACCAGGTAAGATATCTCGTACGTTCATGTTACTATTTTATTTAATTCCGTTTCCACCTGTGGTGTGACGTTAGCTCTGTCCTTGGAGAGGCTAATTCTCGGCATCATTGATATCAGTCAAGTCGGGATGCTGGGATGGCTGAAAGTCTCTTCTACCGAGAAGACAGCTGCGCAGAATGGAGTTCATCGTAAGCCGGCTTGCCGAGTAAACTAAGCAGCCGGAACCTCTCCAACAGAGCTACACCCTCCAACAGAATTGCTTGCTTAAGCTCGAGTGCGTTAGATGTTAAATTAGCTATAAACAAACTTCTCAATAGCCTATATTAGGTTGTTTTGTAGAAATTTAGTCTCACTGGATCATTTGCTCTTGGAATGTTGTTTTGTATAGTGATTATGAATATGCCTGCTGTCAGC